CTATTTATGAATTTGTTCCACAGGAAAGGCATGAGATTTGGTATTTTAAAGGCTTAGTGTGACAAGCATATTAATACTTCCAGTACTGACAGTACTTTCTGCTGACCAGCTGAATACTCCATGTGTATGTGCTTAATTTTTCAAATGTAGAATCATAGAATCAGAGAATAGTTAGGGTTGGAAAGGACCTTAAGATCATCCAGTTCCAACCCCCCTGCCATGGGCAGGGACACCTTAAGCTAAATCATATCACCCAGGTCCTCGTCCAACCTGTTCTTGAACACTGCCAGGGATGGAGCATTCACAACCTCCCTGGGCAACCTATTCCAGTGCCTCACCACCCTAACAGGAAAGAATGTATGTGTTTGTGATGGAGGAAGGATAGAGAAAATTGTCTTTTAGTTGAACTTGGGCATAAATTCATGGCAAATAAAATATAAAAAACTTACAGAAATGTTGACATAGCTTAGATTAGAATTAGGAGTCCTGTGTATAATTCAGACACTGATTTTAATCTGCATGGTAATCATTCACATGAGTAGGTAAATCATTCACATGGTTAAATCTAGCCCAAAATACTTTAGGGGTAACATTGAATTTGAAGTATATGTGGAGTGAGAGGGTGGAGGACATCCTGAACAGAGGCCTCGAAAGCTTTCTGTCTGTTTTATAGTAAAGGGTAAGTTTTATACATATGCGGAATGTTTTTATTAATAACCTACAGAATCTACTGATTTGTCTTTATAGAGTCAGTACGCATGGGTGGCAGATCTGAAGATACTTTCGTGGAATGCTTGCTTCTTGTGGTCATTTTTGAGATCACAGTATTTACAGTAAACCTGTAACCCTGCCTCATCCATTTAGTATTTTAGAAAGTATTGATATTCACTCTCTGCATTTATATAAGCTGTAGAGGTTTTCATAAAGCATTTCTAAAGGAACAATCCAATAGTGCTGCCTCAAACAAAAGTATTCACCTCGGTAAGCCTGTTCCAAAGTACACCAAAGTCCACCAATGGAAAAATACTGACTGACTAAAACAGATTTTAGATCAGTTGGCATTGTTGGTGATGGATACTGGTCATTTCTCATACACTGGGCCATGAGGTGACCACGCCACAGCTGACTGTGTGCCAAATGGCTGATGTAGCTGTCAGCAAGATTTACAGTGCATTTGCACCCCCACAATGAGAATGCGAAACTAACAAGGATGAAGAGATTTTGCACGTATCTCCAGCTGCTGAGGCATGAGAACACCACTTCAGCCAGTCCTTGATACAAACCCCCCCACTTTAAGAGCTTTGCAAAGCATGTGAGAGGAGATGGAGATCGACCTGAACGGCAAACATCTCTGAGGGGGGAGCCTCAGCCCCCTTTAGGCTCTGACAGAACTTCAGTTCTAAGGTGGGGCCAGCACGAAGAGTTAGCACAGTGTTCCGCTCAGGTTCTGTGTTTCATCCAGGTGCAGCTGTAAACCTTTGCAATGGGCAGTAGTACACAGAGACACAACAAAAGGCTGAGCTCTGCTGGGTGCTGGAGTGCACCAAGCCAACAGTGCAGCAGATGCAGAACTGCTCTCCGGAGAGCACTTAAATCTCCATGTTGAATGGCGGCACCACCACCAATTCCTTCAGACCAAGCCACTGCATTGTACTGGTAAGCCTGGCAGGGTAATGGGGGTTTCTAGCTGCACAGCTGGATGGCAGCATTACATCTGCCCTTCACAAAAGCTTCAGATGGATGTCACACCCCCGTGGAAATTTGGAAGCAAGGCATCTGTCCTGTCACTAGCAGCAATGGTCTTTAAGCCACTTCCTACCAAAGATGTGCTGTTAGAGAAGAAAACTTCATACTTCTTTATAGGGCTCTTAACAGGAACAGGTTTTTGCTTAGTTGTATATATTGCATATGATAAAGGTATATAGTATAATTACATCAAAACAGTTGAACAAAAAGCCAGCATTTTCAAGGCACCCTTATGTTTACAAGTTTTAGTTTAGGTTCTTAGGACATCTCTTATTGGAATTTTAGGAGTAAAGAGCATTATCCATGCATAAATAGATTTATTGCAGGTACCTTAGTTTCCTTAATAGCCTTATGTACCCCAGAGGCTCTAGCAACTTGCATTCTCCTCACTGCAGAGCAGCTTTGTGGCTTTTTTCCCGGCTCCTCTAATGAAAGAGTGAAGTTGCCTAAGCCAGGAAACGAGTGTCTGTAATGTGCCCGTCTGTCTCACTTCCCACTGCAAGCAAACACAAGGGTCAAAAAGGATCAGAATGAAGATACACCTCTGTCATCTACATTTTTAAAGATGAGGTGTCATGCACAGAGGTTAAAGACAAGTTTATTCTTTTTTTTTCCTCAGGAACACTGGAAATACCTCCACGTGTGATAAAAGATCAAGGTTACCTGTAAGAGTTGGCTGTAATGGACTCTTCCCTCATGCTTTTGGGGCAATTCATTTACCTGCTCTGGGCCTCCTTTTTCCCGTCCGCAAAAAGACAAAGTCAGTGGCATTCCTTTGAAGGACTGCTGTGAGTGTCATATTATTATACTGTCACCCCTATTGCTATGCGTAGGCCTAGCTAAATTTTTATCATTATCCATGATAGCATAAAAACAATGCTATTATATTATGATCATGTCTACCAACAAGAGGTCCAGATCCTAATAACCTCTGAAATAGAATTTGTCCTTAATCTTTCATTTGCCATGCACAGAGAAAGCACCATTTGTTGGACTGGGTTTGCCTCATGTTCAGAAAATAGGGAATTTCCAGGCAGACCAGTGACTTTATTCTTTCCAAACCCATATCTGGGGAACCCCAAATTTCAACCGAGTGTCTGGAGATGTAATGCATTTGCTCCCTGCCCTGTAGGAAGCTCTCTTTAACAAAAAATATGCTCTTTTCTAGTATGAGCATCTTACACTTTTTGTCTTTTTCACTAAGTGTTGCATCTGGGAAATCCTGGAGAAACACCAAATTCTACAACAGTGCACACAGAGCTATGAGATCATTGCTTAAGGGATTCTTCCTAGCATCCCAGGCTTTCCACAGTGATGTGTAGCTCATTGTCTTTTGGAAAGGGCAAAATAATCCAACATGCCATTTTCTCATGCTAAATCACTATCTGAAGTGCACTTTTTGTGTAGCTTATTTACTGTTTAAATCTAGAGATTTGAGTCCAAGTCTAGCTCTGGATATGCCTCCAAAGCCCTCAGCAATACAGACTATGACTAAAAAGTGCTTCTCCCTGTTACACTCAACACCCCCCTACACTGATTATGATAGGAATTGAAACTATCTGACCATGTTGACATTTCAGCTGTCAATCCTTAGTAATTACAGTCAAGAGCAAAGCTGCTGTTCCTATGAAAAGAAGAAGTGTAGGAGGTTCATTTTGGCACTATCTGCTGATCACCAACACTTGGGTGGAAAGGACAGGGAGTTTTCAAAGTAAGCTCATGATGGCACTCAGCCTCTCTAGTTCTCAGGATTGTGATGGACTGTGCCATTTATTTTACCTCCAGATGCTTGAGGGACTAGTTAGAGAAAAGAATCAATGAATTAAGGAGTTAGTAAGTAATTTTTAGCAAAACAGAGAAATATATATATAGAGAGAAATTTATTAAGCAGGAAGAGATGGTAATACTGCCTTTCATGTTACATCAGAAATCAGAACCTGATAAGGGAAAGAGGTAAAATACTCACTAATAAACCAGACAAAGTGCATTTAGTGTGTTTCTGTTCCACGCTGGTGTTTACAGTAAACTCCAGATATTTTGTTAAAATATTTGAACATCATTGATAAAGGGGGCTCTCTGTGCCAGGTTTTGTACTCTTTGATCTAAGACTGCTTTGTTACAGTGGGCCAGGGCTCTCAGACACCTCATACCTGACCTCACAGGATATACAAAAGACACAACTCAGGACCACTAGTGTCTTCCATAGCATGTGAGATGAACATATTTCTTGGGACCAGAAGGTTGCTACATTAATGTGGATAATGGTGTATCACATTGCTTTCTTCTGAGCACCATTCTGTATAGGCTGAAGTTCCTGTGAAAGGAAAGACATTGACATTTAAATACAGCCATCACCCTGCAAGGTCATATCAAGCTAATGCCAAACATGATGGGAGAAAATGCAGGTTTACAGCAAACTGTAAAAATGAGATGAAGCAATGAAAATGTGTTGTTTGCAACACTGATCTTTGTGGAATAGCCTGTGCATCTTGGCAAATTGCACCTGTTTGAGCACGGTCAGAATCTGTATTTCTGCTTGTCATATCTCTTGAAAGAGATTACTTTTGAGGAGGAACCCTTACTCAAAGCAAGATCTTGGTGAGCAGTTTTCTAAGGCAGGTAGAAAGTCAGACAGCTTTTTAATGCGTTAGGAGACACATTTTTAGCTGCCAGTATACCTGTCCTTCAACGTTCCTGGGTTAACACTTTACAGTGCCCTCCAACACAGTACCCCTGCCTGGCTGCCAGAGTCCTGGGCGGGAATCTTCCCATAGAATACATCATTTTTTTCCATCTTGTCTAGAACAAACTTCTCAGGGTGGAAATGCTGATCTTCTCATTGATGATCCAAAACACTCTGAAATCAATGTAATTCAGAAGTAATACTACTAGTAGTAATAAAACAATTAGAATAATAATTCTCAAAAGCTTTTGATGCAGAGAAAAACAGGAAGTTGTCTTTTAATCAACTAACTGTAAATGAAGCAGATTTAGGTGGCCCGGGATTCTTTGGCAGCATCAGCCATCTATCCCATTTGTTTTCACAAGGCTTGTATATAAGAAATCTCCAACCAGAGTTCTTTTGCTTTCCTTTCAGTGGTTCAAGTCCAGGATCTGAAAATAATAAGTAAACAGTATTTATAAGCTATATGACAAACTATCTGGGATTTGAAAAACAATGTTTATTGTCTACCAGGTAGGATTGCACAAAAAGAGAACCCAGATATACACAGTAAAGATTATAAGCAAAAAAAATACTCTGTCCATGGCCTTGCTGTGAATGCACAAAGAAAGAAATGGCTTATACAACATGATATGTATGTGTGTGTGTGCTTTGACTAATGTGTAGTTAATTATTTTCAAATAAGTTATCCTTAGAAGAGGTGAAGCTATAAAATCTACACTAAAGGGCAGACATCCCATTATGGACTATCCACCACAGTAGGAATGCAGATATGGACTATTGTATCTACAATGAGGATAACAGACATTGGACTTGATTCAGTTGCCTGGGAGTAAACCATTATAAGGTTGAAATTGCAGTCTTATCAGCAAGTCTACATTGGGAAGCAGAGTTTTTGAGCTAATTATCCTGCTTGTATCAGGTATCATTAAAACTTAGTGTCTCTGCATGAGTGAACTAGTGTATTTTCTGTAATCCAAGCCTGTTATTTAGATTTAGAAAGCAGATTGTCTCTGATGTTGACACTTAGGAAAAATATTGCTCTTTGGTCTTCAAGCTTCATTTGAGGTCACTGTGAGTTAGAGGGGTTCTACACCCTTTACTCCTGCTCCCTACTGTTCACATACTGATCCCTAATTTCTTTAACACAGTGAATGTCAAGGACTCACCTATGTTTAAATTCTGTGATTTTAACTTCAGATTTAAAGGATCTCTGGAGTAACTTGTCACAAAAATTGGTAAATTAGCTTCATACTACACTTGAAAAGAAAAATACATTATAACACCAGATAAATTGTCATGCCTACAACCACAACATTAAAGTCAACGGTGGAGTAAACTTTATGTGTTGAACTTAGCTAAGGTAAAAAATATACCCATAACATTTCTGTTCAAAAAATTCAAGGCTTAAGAAATTCAATTAACTGTTAATTAACTTGTGAATAAGTTATGGTTTTTCATTACACTAAAATTCTTCACTTACACAACTCCTATAGTCCTGATCTCAAAAGAGTCCAGTGTCCTCCTATGACTATACAGATGAGGAATAACAATAGAAACAGAACACCCTTCTAGAGAAAGCAGCTGTGATACTAAAATCACAGGGGGCGCAATTTCTTGAAATAAATGTGTTGCATGCTTTAGAGTTATTTGCATTATTTTTCAAACCTTAACAGTGAATTTTATTAATCATTATCAAACCCTCCAGTCATCTGTATTACAATGAGCTTATGAGCTTTCTGTTGCTGGGAGAACTCATGAGAGGGCTAAAAGGAAGCTGAAACAAGGTGGGGGTCATTGAACATCAATGGCACATCATTACTTAGGTATGTGTTCTCATTGCTTGGAAGCAAATGTGATTTTGCATTCAAAGTGGATAGGATTTTAAAATAACTGGTAATGCTTCCTGCCAGTTGCAAAAGGAAATTGTGAGTTTGGCTGCTGGTAGTGCTGCTTTTCACCAAAGCACATTTCGCAGAGTCATGTAAGTGCAGGAGAAGATATGCTACCGGCACACTGGTCTTAAAGTATTTCCAAGAAAAAGTATCTTAAAAGGGTGAGTTTGCTCCATCAGCCCATTCATGCAAAGCCATTTGTTGCCTCGTGCAGATCACTTATAGTAGACTACATTGCTAGGCACACGGTTTTGACTGATAGTTTTCCCTGATCTTCAAAGGTGGGAATGGATAATGTTATTTTTTGTGAGTTGCAACATAGAAAATCGATAACCATGATATTTAGGAAGTATCAGTATCATCTGCATGAATAGGAAGATATGTTTCTTTGATTAAGTGAACAGATAAAACAGTGGGGTTAGGCAGCAGGATGGATATGTGAAGTCAGGGACGGAACATAAATGGTGTGCAACGTTACGTGTTGAAAACTTGGCGGTAGTGAATGTTTAACTGTGGATTGATGGGCGTGATACATATCAGAAGTATACAGGGGAGAATGCTGCAAGGAGAAAGAAACACTGTACACTATTAATTGTCCTAGTTTCAGCTGTAACAGTTAATTTTCTTTCTAGTAGCTGGTACAGGGCTGTGTTTTGGCTTCAGTCTACGAACAATCCTGATAACACACCAGTGTTTTAGTTGTTGCTCCATAGCTCTTACTCTGAGCAAGGACTTTTCAGTCTCTCATGTTCTGCCAGTGGGGAGGGGCACAGGAAGCCAGGAGGAAGCAGAGACAGGACACCTGACCCAAACTAGCCAGAGGGGTATTCCACACCACAGCACATCATGCCCAGTATATAAACTGGGGGGAATTACCTGGAAGGCCTAGATCGCTGCTGAGGTTGGGCTAGGTAGCAGTCAGCTGGTAGTGAGCAATTGTATTGTGCATCACTTGTGTTTTCTGAGCTTTTATTTCTTCTCTTGTTGTTTCTTCTTATTGTTATTATTGTTATTCTGTTACCATTCTATTTTACTTTATTTATTAAACTGTTCTTATCTCAACCCATAGGTTTACATTCTTTTGATTCTCTTCCCCATCCCACCCAGAGTGCAGGGAAGGAGGGGAGTGAGCAAACGGCTGCATGGTTCTGAGTCACTAGCTAGGTCTAAGCCACAACATTAATTTACATATCTTACTTGCTGCCTTTCTTTGGATACACCCTTTTTTCCTAGTATTTTCCCGTCTGAGTTCTGATTTCCATATAATGTAGCATTTCCCATTGGCCTGAATGCTGAAAAAGAGACTCCTCATCTAAGTGAACACAGAAATTGCCTCTTTTTGTGTGTGTAATATTAAGGAATTTTGGACCAGTGCAGCTAGTCTTTGGGCACATTTCTTATTTAGAGATCTTACACTGAGATTGCTCACTACCTTTTAAACTCCGGACACTGTACCATTAAGGGTTGTCTCCAGGGGACATTTATTTTAGTGAAGAAAAGTAAAATTCCCTGTAGAGGCAAGTCCTTAGTTCTACTGAATTTCCACCACCTACAGTTTACAGACTGGTAGAACTAAATAGCCTGAAGTGTCAGTTGGGCAAGAAGGTAATGGTATGTCAAAGCAAAGAGTCAATATGCAGTGTTTTTTTCCAGATCTCAGTGTGGAGATGCCCTCTACCTGTGGATCAAGTCCTAAAAAGAGTCTGATAATGTGGTGGTGTTGCCAGGACCTTAATTTGGAATATTTCGTTGCAACTTTTTTTTAGCTTTTTCTTTATTTTTGTTCAGACTTGCTAACTTAGAGTTATTTGTTTCATTCAGGTGGAATTTCACCAAAGGAAACCATTACACCTGACTGGTGACATTGAAATCCCCAAAGAAAGTACCTGATTCTCAACAAGGACCTGAAATTTGAGGTCATGCTCACAGCTAACTACCTTGGTCATGTACTTATCGTACTTTCTGGAATTAGATTTTGGAGCCAGTCAAATTATTAAAGCATTATTCTCCTGATATAGAATGGGGAAGGTTCTGAAACCCTGAGAACATTTCCTAAGATATGGATGCTATATATTGAGACAAGGAGGCACAAAAGTACAAAATGTAATCAGTTCTAAGTAATGTTAAGTTTGATGGCTTTGTAATGGAAAATAACTGCGGTGCTCGGAGGTAGTTGACATAGTTTCAGGCCCTCAGGGCCTCAATACAAAAGGTGTGAGAAAAGCAGAATAGAAGGACAGGACCTGGGGATGGGGAGTATTCCGGACTAGCAGATGTCCAGGGTGGGCACAGATAAACTAACTGAGAAGTAGAAGGCCAGGATGATTGCTATGCTTGAGGCGTTAATAAACCCATTAAGCTGATGTAAACATCTACTAGGGAGTATTCCGGACTAGCAGATGTCCAGGATGAGAGCAGTTAAACTAACGGGTAAGTAGAAGGCCAGGATGATTGCTATGTCTGTAATGTTAATTGAGCTTGTTGGGAAAAGTAAACGACCCTTAAAGACCACCACATTTTGTATGCATGCCGGAAACCTTTTGGAAAATGATGTAATATGCTCAGTGACCATGCAAGGATGACCTGTGTAGCAATTCGGGGACACACGTTAGGAGGAACTATCCCCCGTGTCACCCGCCGCTGCAATAAAGAATACCTACTTGTCAACTTGAAACTCTGTTGGCAAGTTTGTTCCTGGAGTTTTCTCCGAATCAATATTATCTTGCTATAGTCAGGCCCTTTGTAGTGGTGACTTTAGAAAGTACAACATTAGAGTTTTGCAAATTTCCATTACTGGTCATGACTTGAGGGAAAACTAAGGACACATTTACTTAAAAAGAAAGGTTTTGTTCAGGTTGTAAGAGAAATTAGCATTTAATTACTATTATGGAAACTTGATCATCTTGAAATAAAGCAAATTTTCCTTGAGACAATATTATTGGACAAATTTCTTTTGGCTGTAATAGCTAACTAGAAGTTTGCTTTTAATTGCTGTAGGTAAACTCAAAACTAGGGAAGCTAAATTCCTGCTATAGCAGCTTGGCAGATAAATAAAGACATGATTTATACTCTCATGAAGAAGGAAGGAGGAAAAAAGTATTGTTTTCCATTAAAATGTAACATTGGCTCTACGCCACTTATGAGGTTCTTCGATAAACTACATATCCAAGTATAAATGTTTGCTTTGGCGAACAGAAGGGGTTTTGTTTACTATCTCAATTTTGTTTCTTATCTTATAAATGGTGAGCTCTTTGGGTGAGATTCTTTGAAGGGCTCAGAGGAGAGGAGATAGGAACATCTGTAATTAAAAGTTATTTCAATATGGATAACAATGAATCTTAATAAAAGATTATTCTTCTCTCTGTTTTTATGGCATCTGATTTTAAAATATATATTTACACAAACTTTAAAAAATGAATCCTTGAAAAAAAAAAAGTAAAATCTGAACAAACCCCTTTAGATTTAAGATTTCTCTTTCTCAGCAGTTTTAATGTTAAATGCACTGGTCTAGGGGGAATGCACTGATTCAAGTCGTTTCTTGGATTTTCTAATTTGGCTTGCAATTTTCTTGCCATGTATTATGAGCAACAGCAAGCACAATGAGATGCTGGTGTCAGTTAGGGCTGGTGAAAAATTACCATAAAATACTTCCACCAGCATGTCAAGCTATTCAACTGCTAGCTATTAATATGGGGAAAGCATATTACAGGCAGCCATGTCACAGAAAGCAAGCTAAAGATGAACTGATTAGCCCTGATGTCCCTATTTTTGCTTGCTCTGCCAAGTGAAAACCACCTTGTCTGGTACAAAGCACATCATAACATAGAGCTCCAAACCTGTACTCATCAGCGTTGCCTGTAGACATCTTTTTTGTAAATAATTGGTGACTACGACAGTTCACGACCAAAGTTACACCCCAACTGCGGTAGAAACTGCTGGGTTTTATTTCTGGCGAGTGAGACTGACATCTAGTGGCTTCATTTACTGATCCCGAGGCATCCTCTCCCTTTCTGCATGTTTTCTTTATAAGTATGGGATTCAGATACTTTCCCTGCCTATAATCATGCAGTTTGGGGTCTTCATACATACTAATCTTATACTTGCCATTCTTCACAAACAGTATCTTGGCCTCATAAGAGCTGATCCATGGAGAGCGAGTGACAAAAGGAGGCAAGTCCCTTTTTTTTTCTGAGAGGAGACAACAGCCTGGACCTGGGCGTGGAAAGCTGTTGCATGACCATGGACTCAGAGGTCATTTTTGGCCTCAGTTCCCCTTTTCCCTTCCCTCATGACTTCTGAGAAGGGTTGGATGATCTATACAGCCTGTAGCTAAAATCAGCAGTCTGCTTTAGCTGTACATCTGTATTGGCTTTGGGTTGCTGCACTGCATTTTGTTGCTGGTAGAAAGGCCAATCAAACGCAGAAAATTTTGATTGACTTTCAAATAAAAATCGTCTCTTGTCTTGGTGAAGGGTGAACATGATAGCCCACTGATGGTTTTTTTTTTGGTTCTCAAATGCTTTAATACCTGGCAAAAAGAAAAAGTAAACAAAACAACACACACATGCATACACATATACAACAGAACTTTTGTTATTGACTGTTACTTGCACTCTAGCTATCCCTGTCTGTATAACCTAGTACATTCATTAAAGATAAATGTGTCCTTCTGATTTAATGTTATTTTGTACCTATGTTTAGATGAAGAACTACTGCTTTTTTATTCCATCTTTCAGTTCTGCAAACTAATCTGAAGAAGCAAACTCCCAACCCTAGTGAAAACCCATGTGAAGCCAAAAGCATGGGTATTCAGGACTCTACACATTCACACCAGCCTGTAGGAACTGAAGCTCTGATTTGTACTTTGCCTGAAATACCCATCACTAAGTAAGAACACAAATGCATCCTCCCATTCACATTTTTATTCTTGTCTCATTAAACAGTACATCCTTGAGGGAAGACTAAACTTGTGCAGGGATTTTGCACAGTGGGGATTTGCTGTTAGCTGGGCTGTGCTGGATGCACACTAGCCTCACTTAGCACAAGTAGTAGTCTCCATCCTTCCTGATGCATTTTCATGTCTTTCTGAAATCCTGGGCCACAACATTAATTAGAGTTGCCCCATTAGTACCCTAATATGTGCCCAGGTGCTATGTCTTCCTGTGGGCTGTCTCATCAGCCAATGCCACTCAAGCTTCACCTCTTTGTCCAGGGGGAGAGGGAGGCCCTTTCATATACCCAAGGATGCCTCTGGGCAGGGTAAAAGACTGCTGAAGCAGCATTAACGCCCTAATAGGCACGAAGTATTTAGCACAGTGGGCTAGCTAGATCTGTCCTGTCTCTCACTGGTCTTACTCCCAGCCTCTGTTACCTTACACTATATCTGTAGTAGCAGCTTTAAAGCTCCTTGTACACTCTGTAAAATCCACAAGACATAGGTCATTAGGGTATTGTAACAGGCCCCAACACAATACAAACTGTTTTTTCCTAGTTCCTTTAATATTCAATACTTAGGAAACCCAAAGGTAATCTATAGCCTTACAACTTTCTGTTCTTTGTGCTTATTCATTCTGAGGACAGAGTTGTTTTTTGTAAGAGAAGATGGTGGTTCATTGAAGGATAAGGGCAAATGGAAATCTGTCCTGACAAACAAAACTGATTCTGAGTAAGGATTTGGGTAGGCAGCTTATTGGAGATAAAGTTAGTTCCCACAAACTGTTTTTGGAAGGTCACATTTCTACCCTCTCTTTTTCAGTTGATTTTGGTTCTCAAGTCATGTTCCAATGCACTGTGCTGTCAATACAGGCTCCTTCAAGTCCCGGACTCCACTGCCTGGAGCACTCCCAGCTGTAGGAGGGCCCCACTTCAGGACGCCCTCCAAGTGTGGCCAAAGCTCACACTCCCAACTCCACGAATTGTTCTTAGGCTGCCTGAGTACTGAAGCACAGCCTGGCCCTGTTCCTGCCTGGGAGGAGGTAAGCAGGCTTGGGTGGGCACTCTGCTTTTGTTCTCCAAGGTGGCCCAGGCTTCCCATCAAGTGTGTGTATGAGGCGATCTACAGGCAAGCCAGCTGTCCTCCCATAATCAGCCGCTGTGTTTATCTGATCCTTTAATATGCTGGGGAGAAAAGTTAACAGCTGATAATTCACACATTTTCAGGAGCCTTTTCTTGTTTTACAACTAAATAGAGATACTGGCAGACTAACCAGACCAGAAGGAATAGCAAATGCACTTCTGCTTTTCTAGTCTATGACAAAACTAATGACCTAGACTTTACATTGCTGCTGCTGCCATCCTGAAAAGACTATGTATGCCTTTACCACTCCACAGGTGTTGGGAGCAGAAACGTTCAGCCCTGCAGAGTTGTGTCTCCTTCTCTGTCCCCTCTCTCGTCCTATAGAGCTACTCCCTTTCCATAGCGATGTCAGTCCCACAGCTGGGAGGCAGCAAAATTCAGACTTTCCCTATATTCCCCAAAAGTCTCAAAGCTCTGCAACCCTTTGAAGAGACTGTGTTGAAAGGGCAACTCCTCTCCATTTCATACACTGGGTAACACACCACTCATTTACTAGTCACATGAATACCCATTTCCTCCTTACCCCTCAATGCTCCACCTATTTTCTCCAGCCCAGTTTTTTTTCCTAAAGCCAAGGTTTTGTATCCAGAGGAGGTTTCTGAAGTGGTGCAATTCCATGATTCTCCATTAACTTCACGAAAGCATGAAGTCTGTGTATTTTCACACATCCCACCTCTACCATCTTTGTTACCACTGATTTTCCTTGCATATGTTTGTATCCTAGAAACTGAAACTCACTGATCCATGTGCACAGTGATGAATAAGGAACCCAGAGATGCAGTGAACAGAAAAGATAGAGATACCACTCACCACTCTGCAAAAACAGGGAGTTCTTGACAAACTTCATATGTATCGCAGAAGGCTTCTCTTTCCTCTCTTTTAGGGGAAGTTAAGCAAAGGGATGAACTTGCAGCACACCCTTATTCAGGGAATTGTTTATTCCTCCATTGTAAAACGGAGCTGGAATATACAGTCTGCCCATCTCTGTTGCTAAGAAACAGGGCGTTGTTGCCTTGGGGCTTGACTCAGAATTCAAAAACAAAAACAGTGTCTCAGTAGACTGCATAAATGCAGCTTGAAACCTAGCAACAAGGCCACAAGTTCAATGTGATTCCCTTGCATGTTAGAAAACAAGGGTATTAGAAGGAAAATATGACCGAGGAAAAGAAAACAGTAATTTGAAAACAAAACAGAGCTCTTGTATCACCAATTATCCTAAGGGAGGGAACTTTCTTTTACTAAACATACTTTTATGACCTGTAGTATCTGATACTTTGCTACCTTGTGCTTTGAGCAGGTTCATATTTACTACAACAAGCGAATACAAAGCAGCACCAGTATTTACACCAGTGTTTCCTGAATATTCAGCTTGTGCAGTGTAAGTGACAACACCAGAGTCAGGGAAGCAGAATTAATTTCCAGTTTGCGTTTCAGTTTTCAAGCACTCTGCCCACAGGATAATTTAATAGTTGCTACATGCGCCCTGAAGTGATCGCTCTTAAAATGGTATGGATTGTATAACTGGGAACAATTACTTAACCACATACACATAGACTGTTTTCTGTATTTGCTTATGTGCAAGTGAAGTATAAATAAGAACACAGCACATGCATAAAATTACAAATATGTCATCACACCCTTTCACCTTAACAAATAGTCATTATGTGCTGTTGGAAATGACATTTTTTCTATCAGCTGTTTCACTGTAAAATCTGTTCCCTCTGACTGTGGAACTTCATTACACAGCTGAAACTTTGGCCAGCACTCCAGCAGAGTAGGCCAAGTTCAAACTGAGTTATAGTTCTCAGCTGAGTAAACAGGGCTCAGTTGTTTGTTTTTTTTGATGTTTCATCATAAAATAATAAAGAGATGTTCTTCAGCTATGTCATATGACAGTGTATGTGGTGGATTTAGCTCGAGATGAAGGAGAAAACAGAATACCACAGTGACAAATCATCCAGAACCACCTGAACAGTTTTCACATTCATTTCTCCTTGTGTTTCTTCTTACAAATAAATTATTTCCAAAAGAAAGAAAACAAAAAAATCTTTCTTAAATGCTTCAAAGTTTGCAGCACTTCCATGTGGTGCCTTCAACAGCTAGATTGTTGCAATAGCTCAGACTCTGGGCTTAAAGAGAATTTGGGAAAATACATTTGCTTTTAGTTTGGTTGCTTTTGAATGACCTTCAGAACTGTTTGGAAGGGTATGCTGACACAATACATTTTTTTCTGTGTTTTTAAGCAAATCAAATTCAGGGTCTCAGCTGAAAAGAAAGTTGGAGGTTGTAGCTGAGAATTGTGATAGGGCATTGTATTAGTTCAAATACAGGAAGATCTCACAGCAGTCCTAAAGTAACTAAGACGTTATTGGCTGATTCTTTGCAAGTCTATGCTGCTGAGATACCTACACTTTTACTGAAAAGAAAATACCATCAAACAAAATGCCTTAAAGAAAATAATTTCTTATTCCCAGTAGATGGCAGCCTGTTACTTATTTTACATGTAAAGGAGTTTTAAAACCCCGGAAAGCTAAGGATTAAATCTTTCTGCTCTACTGCAGCAAAAGGGCTTGACATTTCCCTACACAAACCCACTTCATGTTTTCAGCTAAATATAAGTCCTTTGTAGACTTAAATAAGATTAAGGAGACCTTAAGAGTACAAGCTGGAAAAAGCAGTAAAGCTAGTCAGGATCCTAGTCTGAGCTGCAGAATCTTCTTAGGTACAAGCAAGCACAGATGGAATATTATACCCAGATTTAACCTTGAAAACCATAGCCAATGGTGTCTATGCTTTCTACCTTGAAAGTATTTCAGAGAAAAAAAAAAGGAGAAAAAAAAGATAAAGAAAAGGAAAAAGAAAACCTCCCCATTCATTATTTATAAATGGTGAAAGAAAACGGGATGAAAAAAAAATCGTTCAATCACCATATCACAAAGAAGCATTATCAGTCAACATCCAGACCATAAGGAAAACACATAACTTGACAGGACCATTTGAGCATGTTGTGTTCTTTGTTATTTTTTAGTATTTTTTAAACTTGAGTTGTTCTATGCTGCATTGATTCCAAAGAGTCAATTAAAGAAAGAAAAAAGAAGAAAGAAAAAAGAAAAATGAGATCTACTTTTTATTTTGAGAGCGCACAGAAAAATCTTATCACCAGTTTCCAGCCTGTGTTAGAAATACAAACTTCCTTCTTCTTAGGCTCTCAGCTTTTTGGGATAGCAACCTACTTTTTGGTAATTAGGCCAAATAGGTTCAGGGCTCTTGTTTGGGCTATATCATAGCAAAGCTCCAGTGATAACTGCAGCAAATCAGAAAGATGTCACTAGGTGTCTGTAGTTCTGATTTAGTTCTTCAAACAGAATCCGAGTGTGTCCGCTGAAGCCAGTGTCAAAGCAGTGTGAATCAGAATTAACTATTTAAAACCACTGCTGGAGCAACAGAAAGAAAGATTAAATGACAGAAGTTTGCACACTGTGTAAAATGCTGATCAGGATGTGATAACAGGGTAAAATTTCATTTTTCCTCAATAAGGATGTAAAGTGGTGTTTGAGGGCAAATGGTGGTTTAGTGTCCCCTTGCTATAACTCATGTAAGTAAGGAACAAGCTTACAGATTTCATAAATCCACTTCTTACTTCTGAAATCTTATTAGAGACTGAGTAGAATAAATCCTGGTTTACTCTAAAATAAGTGTTCCATTTCCCCTATTTTAAGTATCTGCTCACTGAGCCAGGGAATTACAGGTATGTCTACCCCGTGAAGTGCAACTTTGAAATGTTCCAGCTAACTCCAGGATCAATGGCTACAGATCCAAGTCAGGTGACATATCCATCCCCACTACTTAGTCTTTGTATTCAGTGTCATGCAAACATTACTCTATTGTATTCATGATAGAGGTAAGAAATGCAAGCCAGCTCAGAGCTTTTTAGGCTTCTCTGCACTTCACAAAGAGCTGTGAGGATAATTCCTTATCATCAT